TCAAAACTGACCAGTCGTATTTCCCTATATAATCTTTGTATTTTATGGGGAAAAACAGAGGGTCATTTCAACGCGGATTTTAGGGTACTTAAACTCAGTATATCTGGCTAATTTTTTGCATACTCTTAGGTAAATGGCTTGACCTTTAGGGAAAACTGTCGGTTTGACTCAAAGCCCTCGACGAGGGCTAAAAAGTGACCGCGAGTGAAATTCTCTTTATATGAGCTCTATTACGAAAAAAAATTTCCTCCGACGACCCCCCTTGAAATTTTGTGAGGTTGTAGGAGAACGCCTTGGGGTGTCACAAAAAACTCGGCATATCTGGGAAAACTTCGTAAAGCGGTCAAAACTGACCAATCGTATTTCCCTATATAATCTTTGTATTTTATGGGGAAAACAGGGTAATTTCAACCAGGGGCGGAACTACAGTGCCGCCAGACCCCGCAATGCGGGGGGGGGGGGGGGGGGGCCCACGCCATTTAGGGGCCCACGGCCGACCATAAAAAAAATTCTATAGTTAAAAAAAATGTTCTTGCATTTTTGACTTAATGTTTGTTTTGTAAAAAAGATTACCGTAGCTGCGGTTGGATTATCTTTATTCTATAGACACCACCCCACGCTCATTTTTCCTTCGTTTTTAAACCACTGTGAAAGCCGAGTCCTCTTTCTCCTACAATGAAACTTATCAGAGATAAGCAAACGTTCAAACCACTTCCATGACTTATTTCCCTTTTTTAAATGGTCAAATAGTGATGCTCATAAGCCTCTTTTTAATAGATTTGTACTAAACAAATTAAAAAGCAATTACTTCTCTTTATTATTGTTTATAAATTACTTACTAAAGAATGACACTGTATAAAAAGAAAATGTATTTAAAATTAATAAAATAAATACAAACAAACATAAAAATAAACATGACACGAGACACCATTATTTACAGAAAGCTTTCATTTTCATGTTTTATATTCTTTTGACCAATATGAGGTCAAATGTCTTACGGCAGAGATAATATGAAACTGATTTTTACAAAACAGACTAATGCACTTACACTCATGACATGATGTTGTAATTTGTTTTAATTTTAAAAAAAAAACCACGTATTTCTCATAACACGAACAGGACAGCATGAATAAGTATCCTATGTTTGTATGATGTGTTTGAATATACACACATATATATATATGTATATGTATATGTATATGTATATGTATATGTATATGTATATGTATATGTATATGTATATGTATATGTATATGTATATGTATATGTATATGTATATGTATATGTATATGTATATGTATATGTATATGTATATGTATATGTATATGTATATGTATATGTATATGTATATGTATATGTATATGTATATGTATATGTATATGTATATGTATATGTATATGTATATGTATATGTATATGTATATGTATATGTATATGTATATGTATATGTATATGTATATGTATATGTATATGTATATGTATATGTATATGTATATGTATATGTATATGTATATGTATATGTATATGTATATGTATATGTATATGTATATGTATATGTATATGTATATGTATATGTATATGTATATGTATATGTATATGTATATGTATATGTATATGTATATGTATATGTATATGTATATGTATATGTATATGTATATGTATATGTATATGTATATGTATATGTATATGTATATGTATATGTATATGTATATGTATATGTATATGTATATGTATATGTATATGTATATGTATATGTATATGTATATGTATATGTATATGTATATGTATATGTATATGTATATGTATATGTATATGTATATGTATATGTATATGTATATGTATATGTATATGTATATGTATATGTATATGTATATGTATATGTATATGTATATGTATATGTATATGTATATGTATATGTATATGTATATGTATATGTATATGTATATGTATATGTATATGTATATGTATATGTATATGTATATATATATATATATACACATATATAGGCCTATACATTTATATGGGGGGGGGGCCTAAAGAATTTTTTTGCGGGGTGGCCCCTTTTTTTCTAGTTCCGCCACTGATTTCAACACAATTTTTACGTTACTTAACCTCTGTACATCATGCTAATGTTTTGCATACACTTCTATAGATGACTAGGCCGTATGGAAAAACTGTTGGTCAGACTCAAAGCCCTCGACCAGTGCTAAAAGATGACCGCGAGTGAAATTCTCCTTATATGAGATATATATAAATAAATTGCCGATCGATCCCCTTAATATTATTTGAGGTCGGAGACCGACCCTCGAGGATAATAAAAAAAACTTTATTCCCGTCGGAAAAAGCCATTGTAGTCGTTAAATATGTTTATATATCGTATTTTCTTATATAAGCATAGTAACTATTTGTTTTAAAAAAAAAGTAAACACAGACATACGTCATTCGGTTAATTTTCAAGGGAGGTAACCTTTTTAAATAATTATTTTTCAAATAATTGTATACTATTTTAAACGGAAACAGAAAACGACAAAGTATAGCATTTGTTTTAGAAAAAAATAAGTTGTTAATTAAGCTTCGTATCATAATTAAATAAAAAAATAATTTTAAAAGTCAATGTAATATAAATTATGAGATATACTGTTCATGGAACCTCTGTAGTTCTATTTCCATTTTAGTTATAAATTGCGTACTCTCGAATACTTTCTCTGCAAGCGGATGTTAAAGGTTAAAGAACATACATCTTCTCTAAAATTAAAATTAGCATTACTGTTTAGATTTAAGCACTCCACGCCTCATCCATCAGCAAATAATTATTATTTAAATTATCAAATGTTTTTGAAAACCTAAGCGAAGCTAGGCAGTATGCCTAGTTTATTATAGATCAGTTAACTTTTTTCTATTTTCTAGAAATAATAAAAGATAATAACGTGTCTAATTATCTAAAAACTAAGTTTTTACTTCTAAACAAATGCAATGAAAATTATATTTTTCTCTTAATCAATATAGAGGGAAAAGATAGATTTCCTAGTTGGGGGTCATCCATAAATGACGTCACGCTCGTAGGGGGGAAGGGGGGTCCGTAATTTTGTGACGATGTGTGATGAGGGGGTCGGGGGGAGGGGGGGGGGGGGTTCAGATGTTGCGACGTCACACTTTTGCACTATCAAAAGGCAATGTTAGAGAACGAATTTTAGACGTTATTTCGCGTTTTAGATAACTGTAATAGTTTAGACAAGATTTTAGAAAAATATCGATGTTTTTAAAAATTCAACTGCAATTTTGAGGGGGGGGGGGGGTTGTAGGTTGAGGTGTGGCGTCATTTTTAGGGGGGGGGGGGGGGAATCTGGCTTTTTGTGACGACGTGTGACGGAGGGGAGGGGGGGAGGTAAAAATCGTCAAAAAAAGCGTGACGTCATTTATGGATGACCCATTGTGCTTAATGTTGTAAAAAACGTATTGGGAACATGTCATTAGCGCTTAATATATATGTATATATATATATATATATATATATATATATATATATATATATATATATATATATATATATATATATATATATATATATATATATACTAGCCGTCCCGGCCAGGCCCTGCTCTGGTTTCTGTGAAAAACCTTTCTGTTAAAGACCATTACCTGTGTGTTTAGTAATCATCATAAACCCGGCATTGCCCACCCAAACCACAACCAACCAAAACAACAAAACGCAAACATAACGCTAACACAATTACAAGTACAAACGAAAACTAAAACCTAACAACAAACCCAACCACAACCACAAACACCAATACAAACACACAAAAAAAAGCAAACGAAAACAAAAACCTAACAACAAACCCAACCACAACCACAAACACCAATACGAACACAAAGAAACCAATACGAACACAAAGAAAAAAACAAAACGAAAAAGCAAACAAAAACAAACCAAATCCAAACGCAAAACCAACCACAAACATAAACCCAAAGAAAAAAACACAAACGAAAAAGCAAACGAAAACAAACCAAATCAAAACGCAAAACCAACCACAAACACAACCACAAACACTTAAATCCATCGAAGTATGTCAACGACAAACAAACTTATTTTTACATACAGAATTGAGCTTTATATATTAGATATATATATATATATATATATTATAATATATATATATATATATATATATATATATATATATATATATATATAGTATAACATATTTTTGCAGTGTATATGTGCTAGGTATTAACATGAGGACCCCCGCTGAACATATCACTGCGTTCTAGCGATTCTTAGATAAAAGACATTTTGGGGCTTTTTAAAGATGTCAATAGACATGAAAAGTCTATTCAAATTTGGTTGAAAAATATGCTTTCTGGCAACACAAATTTGCAACCATTTGGAGCCAACTTTTCTAGTCTATTTAGGAGACGATAATATGGTTTTTATTTTCAGAAGAAGCGCCGTGACCAAATGGTTAAAACCCCGGTTTTGTAAGCAGGGTTTCGTATAAATTTTTAAAAATTTCTCCAAATCACCTCACATCACAAAAGCAAACCAAAAACAAATTATTTTCTAATTGCACTCAATTCGACTTTTTAACCCTAATAAATCAATAATTAAACTGGCAAAAAGCATTTTTCTTTTATACATTTTTCAATTTGTTGACTTGGTGTCACCCCTCTAAATGGTGTCACCCGGTGCGGGCCGCAAACCACGCCCCAACCTCGCGACGCCGCTTACTATATACAACTACCTGATGGATCTCTTCTTTCTCCACCCAAGCGTGTGTATCAGGCCCACACCTTTACTTTACGCTACTGACAGCCCCTTTAACCTTTCTATTTCTGACCAACACAACAGGTAAACTTCATCACCAGGTAATACGAAATAGCGTGACTCTCTCTAGGTTGAACAACCACACCAGACAATACAATTCTTTCTTATTCAGCCTAGGGGATGAAAACAAAACGGATCTTTTTTTTTTCATGTAGGTGTGTGCAGTTTCATTTTTTTTCATCCTGAAAAAACAATGTGTTTAATCTGTTGGGTTTTAATGTTAGGTCACAAACGATGTATAACCGGAATAGAGCGACGCGTTATGTGTAAACCTTAGTAGATCTCATTAAGGATATCAGTAAGTATATTTATAAATAGCACATGCAAGCAAACAATATTTTAGTGTATATATATATATATATATATATATATATATATATATATATATATATATATATATATATATATATATATATTTATATATATATATATATATATATATATATATATATATATATATATATATATATATATATATATATATATATATGCGTGTGAGCGTATTCTACTTAAATTTTGTAGTCTAAAAATATTTGCTTTTTTTTGTTTTGGTACAAGTATATTTTATATATTTTAAGGACAGAGTGATTTATTTAGTGATACTATTGCAACTACTCGCTTGATAAACAAGCATTAACACACAAAAATAAACCCCACTCAAAACGATGGCGGTTTAAATGGGACATGAAGTTCGCATCAAGAATCATCGTGTTGGTGTGGGTCGCCGGGTTATGGTGTGAGGGTCAAGACAACACATGGGGCCCGTGTGAGCAGGAGGTCAACTGTGAGTTACCTGCGTGCTTTTGTGCTAACAACACACAGGTGGGTTAATGTCACACTGACATCGATTTCTCTTTTAAACTATTGACTGAGCTTGCTCAGCACTGAGTATATTAAAAACTAATTTTTCGATTAGAATTGACATTTTAAAAATGGCTTTTTAATAACGCAAAATAACGGCTAAAATTTATTTTCTAGCATTACTTTTAAAATGCAAAAGTTTGTCGTCATTCTTTTTAAACTCCCTCACATTGACAGACATCTTCTCTAAAGTCAGAATATATATATATATATATATATATATATATATATATATATATATATATATATATATATATATATATATATATATGTATATATATATATATACCCATAAATTTTTATATTAATGATTTAGGCAATTTTAAGCGTAGCACCTTGAACAACGTTTATAGTACTGCACCAATGATAACATCAAAATTTATATTTGGATTGTCCAGCCCCCGCCCTCACCCCCCCCCCCCCCCCACATAACTCTCAAGGTGAAGAACACCTATTAACATTTAAAACCTTAAAACCCTTAATCTCGTTAAATCTTTATTCTGCACGTTTAACCCTTCCAGGGCCCCGAGGCGGTGCCCGCGACCCAGCGCCCACACATTGTCGTCCTTACCTTCAACGACGCCGTCAACGAAAGGAATTTTGACTACTACAGCAAGATGCTGACTACGGGATGGAAGAACTCCAACGGTGGGTCAATAAGATGGGGGGGGGGGGGGGGGGAGCTGCAGGTGGGGGGGAGGGGGGTTGGTTGAACGATTTAATTAAAACTTTCAATGATAAAATAGTATCAACGTAATATAATATGATTCTGCTAGTTGAATAGGCACAAATGTGCAATGTAGGGTTTTATCTAAAAAAAAACATTCTTCCTACACACACACACGCACACACACACACACACACACACACACACACACACACACACATATCTTCTATAGCGATTTTAAAACGAGTCGATGGTTATTTTTACGACATTCATTATTTTGAAACCGTACACATATCACACGATTCACAATTGGCGTAAGTTGTTAACATAAATTAAATATCCTATGTCTTCTTGCTGTTTTAATTTTCCCTAGATGCAGAATTTTTTTTTTTCAGTTTCTAACGCGAAAATTAATTTTAAATAAAAACACAACACACTTTATCCTCTAGGGCAAAAGACACAAGCTGTTAAGATTAGCGTTTTTTAAGATGATGAACTCTGATACATATCAAAACTGTTCAACCTTGAGTCGATCGATTCAGTCTGTCGATTATATTTTATCGCTAGCTATTGCTGAATTTTTTAACAAATATAAAATACAGACTCGGTTTCAAATTTTTAACTGCAAAAGAAACTGACAGAGGGGGGGGGGGGGGTGCTGAAGTTCACCTACACCTCAAATTGGCCATGTTTTCTTCCAGACTTTTTTCTCCGGGGGAGCACCGGGAATTTTCGGGGGGGGGGGAGCGGATAAAAATTTCCGGGGGGGGGGGAGCGGACACTGTTAGAAGTATATATTTTCTATATAAATTCCAGTTCGTTCGGGGGGGCGGTAGACTTTTTTCATGGGGGGGGGGGGGTAGCTCCGCCTGGAAGAAACTCTGGTAGGGGGGGGGGGCGGACTAAATTTTCCGGACGGAAAATCCCCGAAGAGATGCCTTTAAAAAAACACTGGAAGCAAACGCTACTAGCAATTAGTTACGTCAAGAAACTCCGCAGGGAGAGCAGGTACACAGAGGCGTATCGACCCTTCCCGGCGCCCGGGGACAAACTTTCGATTTGCACCTCCCCCCTCAAACTTTCGATTTGCACCCCCCCTCGAACTTTTGATTTGCACACCCCCCCCCCCCCCTCAAACTTTCAATTTGTTTTTCAAACAAGTGGGGGCGCCCAGGGGACATATGTCGTACCCCCGCCCCCCCCCCCCCCTCGCTACGCCTCTGCAGGTACAATAGTTACGTGAAGCAAACGCCAATGAGCAACACCGGAAGTTGACGGGTTGTCTCTCTGTATGTGATCCGTGCCTAACAGAACCTGCAACACACCACATTCCATTACACTAGAGGCATTTGTTAGCTTTTATTTGTATCACGTGATACCCGTCGGATAAAGTAGCGTTATTGGGCAGACAATCTAAGGCTTTGTTGGAAAGACTTTGAAAGTGTATATTCGCGTTGAGTTTTATTTTTAAAAATAAATTTGAATCTGTCCTTCTGACTAATAGAAAATCATTCGCAGATTTGTTTTTTTTGCCTAGAACTTTCTGTCGACAGATATGAAGATCAAATCAGTCCGAGAAAAAAATTACAATCCAATTGCTGAAAATATATTCTTCAAATAAAAGGTTCGCAAGGGAAACTCTTTACAAAGAAAGGCTTTCGACATTATTTGAGAAGCAAAGAAAAACTAAAACTTTGGAAATGTCTATTCTTTATTGGTGGACGAGGTCGAAGCGGTCAAATTTTCATTTACAGCACACTCATGCAAACATGAATTAGTTGTTTTTTTACAAGCTGTTATTTAACTTGTCTCCTCTGTCCGCAGTCTGTCAACAGTCTGTCTGTCTATCTATCTGTCGTCATAGATCAAACGGCTGAGCAAAAGTTCGGGTATTTCTAACTAACAGATTCGTTTTAAAGAAAAACAGTTATTTTCCCCTATTTAGTGCATCATTACAAAAAAGCTTGTTATTAATACGTTTTCTATGCAATTTTTTCCTAGTGTTTTAAAAGCATCAAGTTTCTTTACTTGAGGTAAGTATAACATCTCACAACACTTTTATCATTTGTATGTTATAACTTCCACCTTATGTTCCACAGGCTGCCCGGTCAGACTGACCCTGTTTGTCTCTGACACCTGGACCAACTACACGCAGGTCCAGAAGCTGTGGTTAGCTGGAGCTGAGGTGGCCGCCTTCAGGTCAGTACACCAGGTCTTTACTGAGAAGGTCCTTCACCTTAGGTCTCCAGTCAGCTCCTTACTATAGTGGTCACTCGATAGCGCACATCACCTGTATTGCTGCATTATCTTTGTTAATTTTTTTTTTCTTGCAAGTCTTACCTCGGGGGTTCGGCATCCAATGCTAAAGTAACAAATTATGTTACGAAACTGTATTACCTAAACTGTATTTTGTTTTCAAAATTATTTTTAAAAAAAAAGGTTGGTTGTTACTAGGACGAGTCTGCCTTATAAAAAGTGACAAATAAAATAACCCAAATAGCCACAAGTTAACAAACACTGACTTAACCGAACATGTTTATTGTATTGATTTATTTCGGTTGTAGGCCTATATAGTAAATATACGAAAACACATATTTTTCGTTTTTTTTTTCTTTCAGTAAATCGGGATATGGCCAAACCGAATATTTCTATAAAACAATCACCAAAGAGAAGCTGAGAGAAGAAATAGGAGGCCAGAAACAAAATTTTGTGAAAAAGGCCAAAATTCCTCCATGTAAAATATATAAAATACATTTTAAAATACGTTTTACTTGAACTGCAGAATATTTGAAGAAGAAAAAAAAACACATTTTAATGGGTTTTTTTTTTCGTGTGGATAAGGCGATGTGTGGATTATTAGAGGGTGGATTAAGAGGTGGATGAATTAATTGTCGGTTGATAAAAAATGTGGACGGGTTGAGATTATGGTATTGATGAATTAGGTTGTGGTTGGTCTGAAAGAGGGATCAATCGCCGATATATATATATATATATATATATATATATATATATATATATATATATATATATATATATATATATATATATATATATATAATATATATATATATATATATATATATATATATATATATATATATATCGGACGCTACTTAATGAAGTTTTACGAGACACAAGAGCAATCCAATTGGTAACTATTTTAGGGGTTATCTATAGGTGACGGCACACTTTAAAAAAAATTACTTCCATTTCATTCTCCCTTTCCTCCCCGTTCCCCCACGTCGTAACAAACTCCCCCCCCCCCCCCCCCCCCCCATCTCCATAAAGTGACGTTCAATATATATATCACTGGAGTTAATTGTAAACAAAGAAACTCTAATTGCTGTTTGATCTTACACATACGTTGTTATTTATCTCTACCGTATCAATAATTCCAGATGCTATCAGAGGCTTCAGAATCCCTTACTTCAGTGCCGCTGGAGACGACATGTTCGATGTGTTGGCGGAAGAAAATTACGATTACGATTCCAGCCTCCTCATCACCAGGGACTCAATGCAAGCCCCGCCCACTTGGCCGGCCACCCTGACGTACAAATGGCCGTTCAAGTGCAAACTGGGTCATTGCCCCTTGTCAAACCACTCTTCTATTTGGGAGGTGAACTAATTCAATCGAAATTGTGTTTTTTAGTTTTTAATCTTCTTGAGAAATTACTTTTAAAAATGTATATCCAACATCGATAGAGTATACCCACTTGCGTAACTAGGTAACAGAAGGTGTCACCTCATCCCCCCTCCAACAATTTTGCATTTTTTAGGTTTCGGGTCACACCTCTTTTCCTACTTTTAATTATTTTAGATGAATAAATTATTTCTTAAAGGTACCTGTTTTCAAAACTATTTTGTGTTGTGGTGTCACCCCGTGCGGATCTCACCCACTGCCTTATGATGCTTATGACTAAGCCTATACTATAAAGAAAACGTATGCAATTTAAGCTGTACTATACAGTGGCGTGCAGAGGGGGGGGGGGGGGGGCGGACGGGGCCCAGGCCCCGGGCATCCACCACTGGGGGGCATCCAGCGGAGGTAAAAAAAAAAAATTTAATTAATTAATTAATTAATTTTTTTTTTTTTTTTTTTTTTTTTTTTTTTTTTTTTTAAGTAATTTAAAAACTGTTGTGATATGTCGTGTCATGGTGTCATCGTAACTTTCCATATGTTTTGCGATCTCACTCAAAAAAATTGTAACACTCAATCGTCTGTCAGCCGTTTTAACATTACACTGTCCGTATGGCAAAACTTATATAGAAACAGCGGGCATCAGTGAAGGGTAGTCCTACGGAAGTCAATGATATTCCATTAATAAATGTGTGTCATATTTATTTAGTATAGTGTAGGGGCATCGTTTAGAGTACTTGTGACCAAGTTATTCCCATGCACTGTAAGGGCATCTTTAAAGTAATATGCGCGTATTCGTTATACTCATTTTCAAGGACATCCGTCGAGTAATTAAATCATATTTATTTTTATACACTATAGGGGCATCTTTAAAGTAATTATTCGTATATTCATTATAATATATTTTATGAGCATTTACTAATATGCCCACTTCACTTTATAATACATTTTAAAGGCATCCATACAGTAAGTATGCCCATCTTCATTTTATATATTGTAGGGGCATCTTGAAAGTAATTAAGCTTATATTCATGTGTTACACTCGAAGGACATGCAACAGTAATTACACCAATCATCGTTGTTAACATTGGGGGCATCTCTAAAGCTATTTTTTAATGTACTTCTTCATTATTATCCATTTTAAGGGCATCCAAAGGGTAATTATGCCCATATTATTATTATAAATTTTTGGGGCATCTTTGGTGAAATATATGACCGTTTGCAGTGTAATAACTTTTTTTTGTTAAATTGTATGGGCAGCATTCAGTGGCATAGCTAGGATTTTCGGTCCCCTATGCAAAAATTAACAATGTTAATGTTAGTCGCCCGCCCTCCCCCACACTGAATGCCACTGCCTGTACACTAAGAAAGGACTTGGGGCCTTTTTTAAATTAAATTATTTCTACAGTAGAAAAAAAACTTGATTTCATTAATTTTTAAAAAATTATTTATATAAAATAAATATCAAAATTCCAATGTAAAAGTTTTAACTTTTTAAAAGAAGGAAAATGGCCCCTATTTGCCTTGGGCCCCTATGCCTTGCTTACTCTAGCTTTACGGTAGCTAAGCCACTGGCAGCCATTAGTATATTTTTTTTTCATGCATTATATAAGCATACTTAAGAATAAGAATGCCCATATAATGTTTTTGATACACATTAGCGACAATCTTAAGAATACGAATCAACATATTGTTTTCGATACATTGTAATGATATCATTCAGAATAATTGCGCCCATATTGATTTTTACAAATAGGAGGAGCATGCTTTAAGTAGTGTTAAAGTTTTTAACTCTGAGTAGAGCTTTCTTTAAAGTAATTGGGAGCACATGCAGAGCCAGTTTTATTTCAGTTAATAGTAGAGCTATCTATAGAGTTATTGAGCCCATAATGATGTAATGAAATGTGGGGATGCGGTGTGGGTTTTTAGGCTATGGAAGCCGTTAGTGGATTATCCCCCACCTGAACTAGACAGACGTACTTGGGTGTTAAATTTGTGAAAACGCGTCCAAGCCCAGGGAGGGTCTGACATAGCATAGTGGATTTTTAAACACAGTCCAATGTCGAAATGTTTTTTTAAGCTGGCAGCTTGAGGGGTCATCCATTTATGACGTCCACACGGGGGGGGGGGGGGGGTCCGAAAAAAATTGACTTTTGTGGACGCGTGTGGACAGGGGGAGGGGGGGGTTGGCCCAATGTGGACGTCCACACATTAAATCTAACATTATTTTTGGTAGTGTGAAAGAAAAATATTTCCTAGCGAAGCTAAAGTTCAACTATCCTATCTCTCTGGCCCTTTAACCACCCAGCTTGGGTCTATGCCCTGGCTTAACCTGGAATACAATAAGATATCTAATTACAAGTGTCCCCACATTTGCATCCCAGGTCAAATACCAGGCGACCACTTCTCTAGGTAGGCGGGGTCATCCCAGTTCAGTTGTGAGACGGGAGAGGGGGGGGGTTAGCACGCTGTCCCTGTTCAGGTGTGGGACACGAAGGACAATAAAACACATTTGTACCAGTATTTGTAATACTATATACACTCAGAGTATATACACACTTAATGCAGTAGCTTGAGTAATAGTGGAAGAAGATTATGCAAAAACTTATAGTCAGTGTGGACGTCCACGGGATGGGGGGGGGGGGGGGGGGGTCCGTCAAAAGTGGACGTTTGTGGACAGGGAAGAGGGGGGGGGTCCAAAATCCCAAAAATGTGTGTGGACGTCATAAATGGATGACCCCTTAGCCAACCAAGGTACACTTCTGTTATATTCAAGGTTATTTAAGATAGTTTGAGAGTATCTAGCTAGCATCACCCATCTCTTTAAAGAGTTGACGTTTTGACCAAGTGGTTTAGAGAGAAAAATCTGAAACATCTCTAGTTCAATGCACACTCTCACCTGTATTATTAGTTACACTATAGGAATTCCTAAACAGGCCAAGAGAGAAACATCCCATTAATAAAGGCGTATCTGACGCCCTAATTGCAGACACGGACAGCGTTTTTGTCCCTGCGGTCCCGGGTGGTAATACAATACCGGATGAGACTCTTTTGTAGTGCATCACAGCCCCCCCCCCTCCCCACCACGACCCGTCCCGCAATTGTCTTTCCCCCCCCCCCCCACCCCTTCTCCCAAGTTCCAACCATTCATTCCATTTGGATTTAGCTGGCTGTAGTCAACGTTTTCATCTCAATTAAGGTAAGTACATTTTTTTAAATAAATGATATATATATATATATATATATATATATATATATATACATAAGTATTTATGGGGGGCATCTTCCGCGTGATTTTTGCCCCGGGCATCTACATAGGTCTGCACGCCACTGGTACTATAAGACTAAATATTTTAGCTGGGACATGGCAAAAATGTGCTTATAAATACGCCTTGGTGTTATAGCTATACGTCTATATATTTTAAAGAGAAGCCTAATTTAATTATAGCCGAATTATCATCACAACAGGCCTATATATATATATAATATATATATATATATATAATATATATATATATATAATATATAATATATATATATACACACTATAAGCTACAATCAGTATCTACACGCAGAACTTCGACGCCCAAGCAGGCGCCACTTTCTGCCCCTCCCTTTAAAGTTTTAGTCAGTGGGCCAACAAAATACAATTCTTAGCATCCAAATGATCTCATCCCCCCCCCCCCCCCCACCTTTAGGTTCCTGTCCAGATGCTGTATGACCTCAACGACACGTTCGAGTGCCAATACATCGATGCTTGCACCAACGCACCTACCACAGAAGAAGGTGCTTTTCAGGTGAGGTGTTTTCACCATAACCATATATTCGATAGTTTCCTGTGTTCTTTCTATACACCTATCTTAGTTACATTGTAAAGCAGCAATGATGTGTCCCTATGTGTGGTTGATAGATAAAAAGAACACAAATATTTTCATAGTGCGGTCGGTGATAACATTTTAGTTTTTGATTATTTTTTTTTAAATTTAAGTTATTTTATAAGCCACCGAACTCTTATGGGTACATGACTCACGTTAGGGAAAGTATAGGCGTTCGGGTAAATGTGCTAACCACACTATTCATTGATATGGTGAGATCACAGAAACAGATGAACTCTACTTCACCTGCCGCACAGACCGCCAGTATTCCTTCCTTGAGCTCTTCATTTACGCGTCAATTTAGCTCGTGCTTCAATAACCATAACACATTGATATCTCTGTTATTTATCCCCACCCCTCTCTACCACCCCCACCCACAGCTCCTATGGCGCAACTTCCTCCCCTACTACAAAAGCCGCACGCCGTTTGTGTTGAACATGAGAGCAACATGGCTAAACACGGACTTCCAGAGAACGGCGTTCCACAGACTTGTCTACTCCATCATGGATATGCCGGAGGTAGGTATGGCTGGCTGGACAGTCGACTGGACGGCCACATGGACGGTTTGCTGGACGGCTTTTTGTTACGGTCTAAGTTGGTGTAGGCGGTCAATAGGCCAATGCTCTGACAAATAGGCGTGCAGTACTTTTATTGATAACCATCTAAAATTCTAGAAGGACAGTTGGGCAGATGTAGACTGAGGTGTTTTATAATGGACGGTCGCAGGCCTATAATTGATCGTTTGGCCGGTCAAATGGACGGCCATCTATAAGGGACAGTTGGGCAGCTGTAGACTAGAGTATTTTATAATGGACGGTAGCAGGCCTATATCTGATCGTTTGGACGGTCAAATGGACGGCCATATACAAGGACAGTTGGACAGATGTAGACTGAGGTGTTTTGTAACGGTCGCCTGCTTATAAGTGACGGTCAAATGGACGGCCATCTACTAGGTCAGCCGGCCAGCTGTAGACTGGAGTGTTTTATAATGGACGGTCATATAAGTGACTGTTGGACGGCCATGAGGTTGGTTAACTTGACAGCCTTTTGACTGGACGGCCATCAGGATTTCTTTCTCCGAGGGGGGGGGGAGTTAAAACTTATAGGGGAGAGCGGGGTGGACACTGCATTAAGTCAATTTTCTGTATGCTTATAGGCAGAGTTTCTTCCAGGCATCTCTCCGGGGGGGGGGGGGGGCGAACGAAATGGATTTTATATAGTAAACATACACTTTTACTAGTGTCCGCCCCCCCCCCCCCCCCGAAAAATGTTGACCGCACCCCCGAAAATATCAAGTGCCCCCCCCCCCCCCGGAGAAAAGTCTGGAAGAAACACTGCTTATATGGCAAATGTTAGATCTATGTATTCTTTTTTTTTGTTCCGTGTGCGGGGGGGGGGGGGGGAGTTAAGTTTGTGCAATACTACCAAATTAGCTATCGACATCCCTCAATTTATTATAGATTAGAAATAGGCAACTACAAACTTGTATTAGGCTACCTATAGCAGATCTAGTAATTATCGTTTAAAATGGGCTTTTCTGTTCGAAATTATAGCAAGAAATGTCTCGAATAAGTCCATTCCTCTTTGCCTGTTTATCATGCGGTGTCCGAGTACCTAAGTTTTAATCGTCTGAGCAGAAGATTAAAGGTATAGTTATATGTTTAGGCTTCTTGCACAGCGCTGATACGAGCCCGGTTAGCTCAGTCGGTAGAGCATCAGACTTTTAATCTGAGGGTCAAGGGTTCAAGTCCCTTATCGGGCGCTTACTTTTTTTCCGCTTTTTAAAAATATTTTACCCGTTTCTAATAATCGCTGTTCACAGTCTCGAAAATTAACAACTTCAACATTTACCTGTGCGGCATATTTTTCTTCGAAATGATAAATTAAGCCAAGTTAAAAGGCAATGTGTTTCCTAAGTCCAAAATGTTTTATCTATTTATATTTCCTAGGTATACTTCGTGACCATGTCCCAGCTCGTTGATTGGATGAAAAACGCCACCAGTTTGAACGAGATTCAAAACTTTGAGCCGTGGCTGTGTCCCAAGAGAGAGCTATACCAGAGCCAATCATCTACGTTGAGAGGGGACACAACTCTACTACCACTCGCACTCGTCTCTGCCTTCATTGTTCACAGAATAATTTTTTATAACATGTTATAAAAATATATTTTGTTTTTTACATATTTGAGTTGGGTTTATGTTTTTGCACTTTATACAATAATTACCTGTAATTGTTAAGACAATTATCCGGTAATTAAACAAAAGTTTGAACTGTTGTATCTGTTATTCTAGAAGATTTTTTATTATTCATTTTAACGCATTTCCTGCGCAATTTACCTGGAATATTTTGATCTTTCTTTTTCAATTTAATTTTTTTTCCCTTTAATATTTATTTTCAAAACTTTTTAAAAAAATATTAACAAGTTTATCACAAATGTGTGTGTATGTGTGTGTGAGAGTTGGTCTGTATCATAATTCAACTAATTACAATCATTTACAATCATTATCACAACGAAAAGTTGAACCATTAAATAATTTTTTTTTTGCCTCAGACATGTAATTTACAACGTCAGTTTGCCTTAACATGTTCGCTTTAGTATTACAGTTATCATCATCGGCTTATGGGGACTGATATAGATCTACAAGTCTACAATAGTAATACTTTCTTCTTACATGTAGCCTTTTTTCATTCATTTAAGATGGTCTACTTATACATAGATCTAATACAAAACGTCTGATTACACTTTTATTTTTAAACCTAAAAATGCAAATGTGTAGTTAAATGGTGATTCAATGGATTCTCCCCCCCCCCCATCCGCATGGTGGGTTGAGGGAGTTTGGGCTTATACGTACGTCGAGCTCTCAGTGTCTTCAACCAAAATAAGTTTTTTTTTTCGAAACAATCAACTTTTTCAAGCAAGGCATAGGCTGGGTTTTCCTTTCCTTGCAGCTTTACATTTAGCTCAGAGTTTCTTCCAGGCATCTCTTCGGGGGGGGGGGGGGGGGGGGCTAAGCCCCCCCGAAAATTTTTTACCCCCCCCCCCCCCCCGAACGAAATGAAATTTATGTAATTTATATAGAAAATATATACTTTTAACAGTGTCCGCCCCCCCCCCCCCGAAGAAAGTTTACTGCCCCCCCCCCCCCCCCGAAGATTTCAAGTGCCCCCCCGGAGAAAAAAGTCTGGAAGAAACACTGATTTGGCTCGTTTAGTTTCTTTGTGATATCTACCATGAAGTTGAATGTTTCGATTCGGAATGGACAATCAAATAGAAAGTACATTAAAATAGGAAATTAATAAATATTCTAATTGAATAGCGTGTGCTTATTGTTTATATTTATAATTATATCGTTCATCGCCGAATGTTGCAGAACAGTATTTTAAGAGTTTAAAAAATAAAATAATTATTGATTTTTTAGCATGGAGCTGAAGAGCCGCATCTTGACATCAAGGGAGCCGCATGCGGCTCGCGAGCCGCAGGTTGCCGACCCCTGACATAGTAGGTTGGTAGATCTGTGACTGATGGCTACAGTGTATTTTGCGCTCTCTAACCGAAGAGACAGTTTTTTTTTTTTTTTTTTTTGTTTTTTTTTTAACCGAAGACAAATAATGGATCCGACGAAGAACTACATGTTTAGAGAAATCCAGTTAATTATTATGCAATCATAATTATTTAAACTAATTTGTTAAAAAGTTTAAGTGTTTTGTTTTTATACTACAATAACATATTATATTTTTTATGTCAGTTTATAAAAGTTATATTTCAAAGAGAATTACTATTACTATAAATCATAATTTATATGTATATGAGAAATAAAAATTAAACATTTCCCACTCCATTTATATTTCTGGAATTCCAAGTTCTTTTTGTTGACCTTTGCACTTTATCTCCCTTGAATAAAGTTGTTAAATGGGAGGTAATTCATTGCATCAAATCATCAACCGTGGTTGATCCCGCTACACTTTACAGATACTTGTAATAATTGTAACGCTGAAAAAATATTCCAATCGTGTTGCTTGCATTTTGTTTACACTTACAGTGTTTCTTTCAGACTTTTTTTTCCTGGGGAAGGGTGACATTTAAAATCTGCGCTGACAAGGAAATACATAGTTAAGAATATTTTTATGGGTACAAAGTACAAACCATGATTACCCTGACAAAAGTGAATAACATTTCAATTACTACGAAAAGGCTGGCTATAAATAGAGCCTACTATTTATAGAAGATCAAGTTCGGGATTCACCTGTTTGTTTTTCCTTTAAATGTAACAGGTCCATTTGTTCTGTGTGTTTAATTTAAACGTTGGTTTAACTTTGTGCATGCCATTGTGATGTCGTTTACATGCAGAGAGCCTGATGATGGGTAATAGCGTCATAGGGACGTTCGGTGATGTAGCCAGTGTTTCTTCCAGACTTTTCTCGGGGGGGGGGGCATTTGAATTTTGAGGGGGGGGGGGGGCGGTAGATTTTTTCGGGGGGGGGGGGGCGGAAACTGTTAAAAGTATATATTTTCTATATAAATTATATACATTTAATTTCTTTCGGGGGGAGGGGGGGGGGGCGGTAGAATTTTTTCGGGGGGGGGGCTTCGCCTGGAAGAAACTGGATGTAGCCCGGCCCGCACCTTGTGACGAAGCTGGGAATATGCTCACTTTGAACACAAGAATAGAACTTATATGCGACGTGAATTATGATGTTCAAATAAACAGTTATGCATATTAGTATACACAATGGCGTCGCTAGGTCGGCGGGGCGGAGGCCTCCCCTGGCGCCGACCCTAGGTGCGCTTTTTTCTGTTTGCGCTATTTTCTGTTTGCGCTTTTTTCCGTTTGCGCTTTTTTCTGTTTGCGCTTTTTTCCGTTTGCGCTTTTTTTCCGTTGCGCTTTTTGTTTTGCACTTTTTCCGTTGCGCTTCTTTCTGGGAACCATCACAACAGACAACATTCCAAAAATCGCACATAAAAGGCTGGTCTTAACAAATTAGCGCTTGCTACAAACCACCCTCTAACTAAGAACAGGCATTTTTTTTCTGACTTTACTCATCTTTTGTAAAAGGAAAATGCATCTTAATGGGAATTCAATTAGCGCAAAGTTTTAAGAAACGAAAATGATAACTGTAATTATGAAACTTTTTCCGGACTGTCGCACACACGCTTACACACACGCTTACACACATACACATACACCAACTCTTATACACACACACACTATATATATATATATATATATATATATATATATATATATATATATATATATATATATATATATATATATATACGCACACACACACACACACACATATATATATATATATATATATATATATATATATATATATATATATATATATATATAAGCAGGGGGGGCGCCAAATGTAGCATTGTTTTTTCTAATAGTTAGCAGGTATGCGTCATGGTGTCACCCCCCCCCCCCTTACCAAACCCCACCCCCTAAGTACTTAAGACTTTTAACTCTAATTAATCAAACGGGATAAAAAGTAAAATAAAAAGCTCATTTTTAGCTGAATTATACGCAGTTGAAGTTAAGAAAAGTTACTTGGTGTTACGAACAATTTTCGGCATCAGTTGTGTGATACCAAAGAAAACTGTTACGGGTCAGTGACTGGTAAAAAAAAAACGCCACCAACTTTCCCAAATTGATGGCCATCGTGAATAAATATATAGGCTTAATTAATACTGGTGGAGCGGCAAAATCGATGGTTGGCCCTAGGCGCGGTAATGGAAATTGTTACGTTTTTTTTGCGTGTAGATCTGACGAACTGTGCGACAGTCAAATAAATGCGCGGTTCTTTTAATAGAATCAGTCATGAATAACCCTCTATTTCTCTATTTGAAAAAAATTAGATCACCGTCTGTCAGAGGCGTAGCGAGGGGGGGGGGGGGGGGCGGGGGGGACGACATATGTCCCCGGGCGCCGACCCTAGGGGGGGCGCCAAATTGAAAGTTTGAGGGGGGGGGGGTGCAAATGAAAAGTTCGAGGGGGGGGGAGTGCAAATCGAAAGTTTGTCCCCGGGCGCCGGGAAGGGTCGCTACGCCTCTGCCGTCTGTGCTACTTCTTAATTAACGTATGCAATTAGGTAGGCCTAGTCTAACCTATTACATTGTCAGGAATAAACGCTAGGCCGGGCTATAGGCCTAACTAAGCCTATTATTTTAGAGAGCTTCGGCTTTAAGTAAACAATGTCTGGGAAGGAAGCGATGACAGCTTATTTTAACACTAAAGAGTGTGAGCTTTTTTAAGCCACAACACTTATACTTGTGTTTGATAATTTAAAAAAAAAGGACAAGTAACTAAGCTTTTCGTGTAGTCCTTAATGCTTTCAACTTTCAAGTAAAAACCAACAATTCTGTTAAAAAGTAAAACTTTAGGGTCTCTATGCTATAATTTAATAAACCGGGAGTGAGTTCCCCTAAACTTTCTCGAATATTATTATATAACTTGGAATGTAGACATGATTTTTAATTACTTAAACTTTTAAAAATAGAATAGAATCTCATAGAAAAAAGAATTGCGCACCAAGCGAACGCCAAAACAAAATGTGCATAATAGTGCGCAATATTATTAGTACTTTATAAATTTACATGCGTTTTTTGAGAAATCGGAAATAGCGTAGATTAGTACTTCCGGTCAACGGAAAGTACTCAAAATTTGATAGAAGGTAAAGAATTAGATCTTTTACTTACATGTGAAATTTCATTTACCTATCTGAAATAGTACTCAAGTTATAGGCTTTTGAAAAATTCAAAGTAGAAAAAGTACCACTTCCGGTTATCGGAAATCGCTCAAAAGTTGATACGGATCTACGATTTTGATAAAATACTTATAGATCTATATGAAATTTCATCAACCTAGCTGTAACGGTACTCAGGTAATCGTGTTTACACACACACAGACAGACAGACACACACACAGACATACGGACAAGATTGCAAAATTATGTTTTTCCGTATCAGTGAGGTGTAAAACGTCGAGATTTGCACGATTACAATACTTTCTCTATACTTCGTATATACGAGAAAGTAAAAACGAAAATTTGATCTCGGACCCTCTTTCCTTAATCTGCAGCCGGACAGGTATTGTGTTCATGTGATTTCTCATTTAAAACACTGAATTTAAAATAACTGCAGTTTCCTAAATTTAAAAAAATATATAAATCCGCCAGTCTATTTGCCGAATATCGAATATCAATATAGATCTATTTCTAGTTCTTGATCTAAATTTCTAGATCTATTCTACTTCTAGGGCCCCCAAGTCAAAAACTTTTTTGAAACACAAAACTTGCTGATAAATTTTTATTGTAAGTACAAATGCTGATAAACTAAAGCAACTGTAATCGATCAATGAAAATTCAGACGCGGAACTCTTGAATGTACACAAATGTGGTACTGAGTCATCATATGGCAATAGTAAGTCCAGATGGTTATTTTAATGTTTGATTTCGGATAATTGCATAGGGCCTACTTATTTTTTTAAAGCTTTTTGTCAACTCTTTAAATCTATAACAATAAGCAGAAATAATAGATAGTCATTCATTCACGTTTACGAATTTTGTTTCAAGTTTAAATTTTTAAAAATCAATGACGAGAATTTATGAATTTCAATTTATGAATTTATTCAATTTAGTCTGAGACTAGTCTGAGAAATTGAAAATTAGTGGTTGAATTGACCTGAACAATTTAATTTTTTTGATCAAAATTAAAGTGCTTTGAATTTTTAAAACGAAGTGACTACTCGGAAGGAGATTTTTCTTCCCAACATCTCCACTTAGTCGGCAAAAGATAGCTCTGCGCATGCGCAGTGACCTAGGGTTAGGGCTAAAATGAGGAGGGATAGGGTTAGAGATCGGATTAGGGTTAGGGATAGGATTAGGGCTAGGGTTAGATTAGGGTTGGTGTTAGGGTTCTGCGGTTGTAAACACACGCATGCGCAGTACCATCGAAAACATCGCCTTGAAGGCAAGCCGTAGTTTCTCTCCATTGCGCATGCCTATATGCGTATCTTATTCTGGCTAGCATCAGCCTTTTTAAAAAATTTAAATTAATTTATTAGAAGCACAAAACGACTCTTGTCACTGGTCACAGTACGATATGTGTAACATTCTCAATTCAGTTGAGTAGAAAAACTGGAGAAGGCCTATGTTTAAGTATGTTATGATTTGATATTGATTGATAGCTTCTTCTTCGTTCTTAATTTTAGTGTTGGAAGGGATCCCCCTCCAACACAATTAAGGATACGTGTCAACTGGTTATGCACCATTGAGGCCATTGACTGCGATTTCAGCCTGCTTTTCTTTTTGGATTTGTTTCCATAGCCTTTGTCCAACCAAGAACAAACTACAAGGCAGCAGTTGTTTGATTTTGGATTTGTCTCTCCTAGAAGAATGGCTGTCCCCACCTACGAGCCTCATCTGCCTGAGGGTTCGAACTCGAGACTTTTCTTCGGTTTAGCAACCTTGAGCTTTACCGACGATCACGCCGACCACCCAATATTGATATGATTATGATGGCCCTGTTGAGGGCCTATGCCTATTGGCAGGACCTAGATCTATACTACCCTATACTATAGTATATTCACTAGAACAATAGATCTATATTGTTGTGTATTATTGTTAACGTTACCATTTAAATCAGTATGAGTAACTAAACTACAAGGCCTAATAATACTTATTTAGGTCTAGGTCCTTTAAGATTTAAGAAGTTGAATAAATGGGGGTCATGGCTCAATCCGGTACTATTCTGCTCTGTTGGGAAACAGAACAAGAAATTAAGCATTTGTAAAATATTTTTACAGGGTATGTTATGTGTATTTGGATAATAAGGATCAATTCAATAAAAAGACTAATGTCAAGATATTTAAATATGTTCTTTTTAGTAAACTAATCTACATTAATTTTTCTTTACAGCTTTAACCAGTGTCAACTTAAGTTTTATGATAAAACGTGAAGAAAAATGAATGTGAAAAAGGTTTCAGCTTTTACTGTCTTTAACAGTGACAAGAATACACTGAAAAAAAAGGTGAAAATCTTAATATACTAACTTTTTACATAACAGTAAAAAGATTGCCAGTTTGAGTTCTATGTCCCTAAAATATTTTTTTTTAAATTTTGGTTTAGGTTTCTTTACATGCAGGTTATAATGCCTCTGGCTCGTCTTAGATTTCTGACACACACAACGATCATAAATCAAGTCTTTATAAATTGTCAGGCAACCTAAAAAAGCCTTATTTTTTACTTTCTGTTATACAAAATATAGAGGAAGTATTGTAATCATGCAAAAATTCTAAAGGAAGATTTTCACAAATCTTGACATTTTACACCTCCCTGAGTCAGAAAACTGTGAACATGAGCACTTGCGTATCGTTACAGCTAGGTTGATGAAATTTCATATATAAGTATTATATTAAATTTGTAAGTGAAACTTATTCTACTTTAAGTTTTTCAAAAGCCAATTATTTTAGTACTATTTCAGATAGATAGACAAAATTGCTCATATAAGTAAAAGATTTAATTCTCTGCCTTTTATCAAATTTTGAGTAATTTCCATTTACCAGAAGTAGTACTTTATGCTATTTCCTATTTCTTAAAAAATGCATGTGAATTTATCTATATATATATAATTCTCTTCTTGGAGACGCTAGAAAACAAGATGTAAGTGCGCTCTCTACCACCCCACCCCTACATGGTCTGGTGAGCTGTGGTTCACACTAAATGTTTATAATCGTAGAGCCGGGTTTAGTGACGGCTATTAGGGGCAGATAGTTTAGTTTGAAACGATTTTAAACTTAGGGGAGGTAACTAAGAGGAGGCTGCTTTCACTGAAGGGGGGGGGGGGTTGGGGGAAAGGAGGGTGGGGGTAGTATTGTTCGTAACGACCTACTGATAGTGTTTTAAAGCAAATATTTTCAGTGGCAGCATTGGTACTGTCGAATTCACAAATTATGAATTACTGAAAAGTAGAAAATAAAACAACTAAATAGCGGCGTTTGATATGCCGCGGGTCGGCTCATTAAGTAATAATATTCTGCACTAGTATATGCACATTGTTTGCTGTTCACTTGATGGGCAATTCATTTTTCTACCATATTCTATTATATTTTTAAAAGTTCAAGTAATTAAAAATCATGTCTAGATCCCGATTTGCCATCTCCTTTAGTCTTATATAAGTATATTCAACAAAGTTTAGGGGAGATACTACCGCTTTATTTTTGCTTTTATAGTGTTGTTAAATGGATATTCAATCTATTTTTTACACCATTTCTTAGACAAAAGACAATATTCCTCACCTGCCACCAACAAGTAAAGAAGAAAAAAGCATGATACCATTAAGGAGAGCCCAAAGTTCTCAGTCCATGGAGCGAGGGGAAAAACATAAGGAATCAAATGGTGGCAGTGGATCCAGAGGGAAGAGGTTTCTGGTATGAGCTTAGTATTTGATACATTAGAATTGATACACTTTTTTGATGTCTTGCTTCTTGCTTTTATTAGCATTTTGTAATATTTAAAAAAATTATTGCTGATCTCATATACTTAATACTTAAAAGTAGACTGTTTTAAGAAATCGACATATTAGAGAGATAATTTTTGTATTTATTTTTATAAGCTATTAATTTTATTTAATTTGTTTTTCATTTCCGATTCTTCAAAAACAGAATGCTTTAAGAAGTGGACATATTAGAGAGAGTATTCGACTATCTGGCAAAAAGAATCGGCCATCATCCCTTACATCATTGGATCATGATAGTCCATTCCCAGGATTGGCAAAAATTTCTCTGGTGGGCCCGAAAAAAAATAGTAATGAAGAACTTCAGTCATTGGCCAGAAAAAGATTACTCGACAGTAAGATTTCTTTCATAGTTTTTGTTATTCATGTATTAACTTTAAAAGCAATATTTAAAAGCAATTTTTATTTCTAAAATTGAAAGCCGGACATGATTATTTTCCTTGTTGTTTATTTTATTTTATTTTTTTTTAATTTTGTATGCAGCTTTGCAGAAAGATACCAGTTTAGATAAAACACCAGTTTCTAGGAAAAGTCCAAGGGATAAATCCACCCCTAAAGATGGAAAGAACACTCCTAATAAAGTCAAAAGTTCGGCTGAGAAACCACACAAAACACCCCCTGTGGCCAAAAGTAGCCCCAGACAAACCAAACCCCACCCTGAGAAACCCCCAAAAGTATCTCCACCTCTTCCAAAGGTCTCAACACAGATCTCTAAAGCTCTGCTAGAAATGAACTCATCCACTGAAGAGTTACCTGTTTTGAAGCAAAGTACAGCTAACCAAACTCGAGTTAACAATGTTATTCACAATGTCAGTGAGGAGCAGAAAGAAAAACGTGGCAAGAAGAGGAAAGACTCTGAGGCATCCAACAGCAGTAAGAAGAAAAGAAAAACTGATAGAATGATAAAGGTGAATAACTGCTTCAATTTCTAGTGACCTCCCTTTTTAATTTTTTTTTTTGTATTTATTTTTAGTAACTAAATTAATTTATCAGTAGTGCACCACCATGTATTTAAAACAATAAAACATTTACTCCATTTTTTTTAAATTTACTAGTTAACTCCTTAAATTTAAGTTTGGATGTTGGTCTTGCCTATCTCTTAGGATGCTAAATTTTTCAAAAGTAAAAAAATGAAATTTTTGTTGTTCCTTAAATTTTCAGGTGTCTGCTACAGATATGGAGTTACCTTACATGTATGACAGCACAGCAGAAGCCAAAAAACTTTTTGAATGCATGATTCACCCTGTGAAGACTGACAGATTCTTTACGTAAGTTACAAGGGAAAATATTTTTATTGAAAAAGAAAATGTTAGTAAAGGACAAATAATTACTTGGTATGGATTTTGAAAATGGGATTCCTACCATTTTATTAGCTAGTGTTTTTGGGAGAAATTAATTATGCTGCTAATTGAATTACTCTCATTCTTAATTTGTAGATTGGTTCATAGGTTTAAAAAGAGTAATTTATAATTCTGTGTTGATACAGTAACATTTCCTTATTTACATCTTTTGGTTTTTACTTCATGTTTTCTTTAAAAATAGTTTAACTCTGCCATGTCATATAAAGACAATTATTTGGCTAGGCTGTAGTATTAAAACTGAGGTGAGGTTGAGATTAATTCTTTTTTGGCATGTTTTTTTCCCCAGAGAATTGTGGGAGAGGAAACCTCTACTAGTCAAGCGCCACACACCAGACTACAACAAGGGATGGTTCTCAACAGCAGAGTTTGATAAAATCCTTCGACAGGTTTGTTTCCCTGCTATGCAATTCCAAAATTTCAGGCTAGATACAATATTTGTATTCCACACTCTCACTTATTTTAATGATAGGTTATTTATAGAATATATAATAATTGATAACATTCACAAGGATTATATGTGAACAATTCTTCTATGTACAGCTTATTCAATTTCTTAATATTTTACTACTTTGTTTTAGTATTATGTTTGGTAGAGTTTTACAACTGTGTTTATTGACCTACAAATATCAGTTTAAGACCACTGCTTGATAATATCTTTAGGAAAATATCCAGTGGGGCGTTAACCTTGATGCCACCTCTTTCATTGATGACAAGAGGGAGACACATAATCAGAGTGGCAGAGCACACGCTCCTGTGGTTTGGGATCTGTACCAGGTTAGATCATCTTTTTTGTGGAATTTTGTTTTGGTTTACTTGTTCATAAACTTTTTGTGGGAATTTTGTTTCAGGTTGTTCATGAACTTTTTGTGTGAATTTTGCTTCAGGTTGTTCATAAACTTTTTGTGGGAATTTTGTTTCAGTTTACTTGTTCATAAACTTTTTGTAGGAATTTTGTTTTGGTTTACTTGTTCATAAATGTTCTTGTGGGAATTTTTTGTTTAACCATATTTAAAGTATTTATCAGTGGGAGTTTAAATTCTTCAGCTTGTTAATCTTGTAGTAATAAAGTTTTGCTAATGCTAATGAATTTAAAAAGTAAATTTTTTTCTGAATTATAATTACCTGATGTTGTGCAGCATTGAACGCATTAATTATAATAAATTTTATGGAATAAAACGGATGCAATTGTTCTGGCAGGCTGGTTGTTCTCTGAGGCTGTTGAACCCACAGACATACAGCAGAAATGTTTGGAAAGTCCTCTCTGTGCTACAAGAATATTTTGGTTGTTGTGTTGGTGCCAACATGTAAGTGGGTTGTTCTTCATTGTAAGGTTAAAGGTCATTGACACTGCAACTTTAAGGGCTATGGTCAAAGGATTGACGAAACGTCCATAGTATTTGTAACTGTCTTTAACTTGTGAGGTAATTAACACTATATGTTTTATTACTAAAAAAAGTTGAAGGGATCTCTTTACTGTGTTGTTGACTTAATTCTGAAACTATTCACATTGAGCTGTGAGATTAGTTTGAACAATGAAAGTTTATCCTTTTGGAGCTGATGATTCTAGTGGCAGATGAAGTAGAGTTCACCTGTTTTTGTGACCTCGGCATAGGAAGGTATAGTGTGGTCAGTACTATGCCTAGCTACCTTACGCCTGTCATGTAGCTATCAGTGCTGGACAAACTCAGTGATGTCCTATGGAACCAAACCTGTGTTGACAACTTAAAATTTTTGGGTTAACAGCCCTGTACTCTGCCATTTCTACGACACCATCCCATGAGCAACGAGGCTGATACACTAATGCTCCCAGTGTAGTACCATTTTTTAACACAAAATCATTTTATTCAATTTTTTAATTACCCCAAACACATCAAACCTAAAATTCTCTTAAACTAGCTAATTAAAAAACAATTGTGTTGCATCTATTCAGCTACCTGACGCCACCAGGGACCCAAGGCTTTGCTCCACATTACGATGACATTGAAGCTTTCATCCTGCAGCTGGAAGGGAAAAAACATTGGAGGTTGTACAGTCCGAGGTGGGTTGGCAGATGCTTGGGGGATTTTATTAGATCATTAATTTAATCCAAAGGTAGAATACTGCTCTTCTCTACTATGTTAAAAAAAATACATAAATCGCACCATACTAACTGTTGTGTAAACCACAGTATCCTAATTTATACATAGACCTCAACTGCCCAATTAGCTAATTAATAAATAAATCACATCTTAAATAATGGATACATCACACCATCTTAAGCAGCAGACCCTGTCAAGTTTTAAAAAAAGGTTTTTACAGAAATAATTTAATAAAAGTGTGCTTTCAAATGCATTTGATTGTAATATTAGCTATGTAAAAATAATTCTAGTCTTTAATATTACATTAAAATAATAACATTTTTGTTTAAAATCTATAGTACTTTTTATACTATTTCCTTTATTTTGCAGAACTGATGATGAAATTCTACCCAGATTTTCCAGTAGTAAGTTGTTTAGTTAGATTTGTGTATAGTTTTTGTAAGTTACTTTATAAAATATTTTATTTGCAGTTTTCCATGATTTTTTTATTATTTTTCTGTTTATTTTTGTTTTAAATTATAAAATTTAGTTTAAATTAATTTAAGCGCTTCTACATCAGTTTCAGCAACCATTAACGTACTGTTGTAATCGCATAAAAATTGTTAAAACAGAAAGGAATAGAAGCTTATCTAGTGTATATTTGGCCCATCCTTCTGTCAATTTATAAATGGAAGCCAAAAAAAAAAATCTTGTCTTACTATGGTGTAGAATTAAACCAATGTTTTGAGTTACTTTAATTTTCATTAACATTTTATTGTCAATAACCGCAATTAAAATGTTTTACCTATTGAACTTTCCCAGAAAACTTTTCCCAGTCTGAAATTGGTGAGCCCATACTGGACACAGTTCTTGAGGCTGGAGATTTGCTTTATTTCCCCCGTGGTACCATCCATCAGGTGATTAAAAATACTTCTATCTAAACATTGATTTAATTTTTTTTCCCATAATACCTTACCTATGGTGCCTTTTTTGAGGGCTTGTCTCTGTAGTATTCCCTTTGATAGTGTTCTATCTTTTAAGTGTTTTTTGATAAGGGCTTGTCTCTGTAGTATTCCCTTTGATAATGTTCTATCTTTTAAGTGTTTTTTGATAAGGGCTTGTCTCTGTAGTATTCCCTTTGATAATGTTCTATCTTTTAAGTGTTTTTTTATAAGGGCTTGTCTCTGTAGTATTCCCTTTGATAGTGTTCTATCTTTTGAGTGTCTTTTGATAAGGGCTTGTCTCGGTAGAGCTCCCTTTTTGTAGGCTGGTCTCTGTAGCACCTCATTTTATAGGATTGTCACTGTCTCATGTTCTTGTCTCACTAGTGCCTTCTTGCATAGGTCTTGTCTCTGTATATGTCTTGTGTCTAAACCAGTTGGTCAATTTCAGAATAACACTTCCATGTGTGTTATATTATAGATTATGATTATATTGTCATATGCTTATGTTTGTGGGTTGTTGTTTGTTTGGTTTTTTTTGCTTTATTTAGTCAATTTAACCTCAATTTTTTTCACACAGGGAGATGCAACAGATGAGCATTCTTTACACATAACAGTATCATGTTATCAGCTCAACACTTGGGGGGATCTCTTACAAAAGGTTGGTCAACACTGGCCAGATTTTCTACCTTATTCAAGCTTGCACTGCTAACCCCTTCACTGCCAGTAGGGGTTTACAGATTCAGGACTGCTTCTCGATTCAATTATTAAAATTAGATTTTTTTTTTCAGTTATTACCTGCTGCTATTGAAATGGCGTTGCAAGAGAGTGTGGAGTTCCGGGAAGGTCTGCCAAGAAACTATCTGAGCTACATGGGCATTGTGAATTCAGAGAAGGTTTGCTTAAAATCTTGTATAATTTGTGCTCTTACTATATATAAAATCTTATATATAGTAAAAAATATAAAATACTAGGCTATATGCTTAAAATATTGTATAAATTAGTGCTCTTACTAACTATATGCTTAAAATCTTGTATAAATTAATGCTCCTACTAGATCATATGCCTAAAATCTTGTATAAATTAGTGCTCCTACTAGATTATATGCCTTAAATCTTGTATGAATTAGTGCTCTTACTAACTATATGCTTAAAATCTAGTATAAATTAGTGCTCCTACTAGATTATATGCCTAAAATCTTGTATGAATTAGTGCTCTTACTAACTATATGCTTAAAATCTAGTATAAATTAGTGCTCCTACTAGATTATATGCCTAAAATCTTGTATAAATTAGTGCTCCTACTAGGCTATATGCTTAAAATCTATTATAAATTACCTGCCTCACTTTTTTTTAAATATTAAATATTAGCACACTTGCTACTAATGCAACCTTGTTTTTTTATCCTATTATTTCTTTGCAAAAAGCACTTCTACACTATTCATGAGTACTAAATATAGTACAAGAATGCATATCTGTTTTTATCATAATTATAGTTAACATTGAGTTATGGACAAACTTTGAGCCTTAATAATTATGCCAACTATTAACATATTTTAAAAATAATTTTAAACAAAATTTGTCGGGGATTGTCTCTCTTAGTTTAGTTTCTGGGGTAGGTTTATGAAGTAGTTTTTAGTAGTAAATGAGTTAAACTTAACTTTTGTGATTTCTCTGCTTAGAAATAAATAAAGAATATAGAAAATATGTTAATTTTAACAGTTCATTTTATCAGTTACGTTTCTAAACCACAGGAAGTCCCTGAGAGAAAGGAGTTCATCGACAAAGTTCAGTCACTAGTGAGCAACTTGATTGGTGCTCTCCCCATTGATTCAGCTTGTGACCAGATGGGGAAACAACTCATGTATGACTCTATGCCCCCTGTTTTGACTGAAGGTACTGTTTTCACAGCTTAATTTTAGCTGTTTTTATTTTTTATTATCTATCCTCTATAAACCCAAAGACATTAGCTGTGGAATATTTGCAGTCAATGATAATTTTGCTAATGATATTATAATGACACAAATATTTGTAAGCTTTGAAAATTATGTACTATAACCTTCATCAGTGTTCCATTATTCTAAGACATGTATACCTCTATAAAGACATATAAAATTAGTTACCATTTCTAAACTGACAGTCCATAGTGCAGACAAAGTAGAGTTCACCTGTTTCTATGGCCTCAGCATATGAAGGGATATTGTGCCCAACCGCCTTTACTTTCCCTAACATAAGAGCAGGTACCCGACAGAGCTAGGTAAACGTTTTATGGACTAGCCCAGGATCCAAACTTTCAGGTGACCAGTCGTGCGCTTTACTATCAAACCATGCTGTCCACTACAGATATATTAGTCAATATTAAAAATAAGTAGGGAGGTGTGGATTTTCACCTGTACATGATGAATACCTGGGCATATTTGGGCTAGTATTTACACCTCATTGACCAAACATACAAGGTTTTAGAAATATATTTTCATTTAACACATGATCATTATGTAGACACTCTGGCAATATGTTCAGACCATGGCCATTGCATGCTTGATGTTCTCTCATCCCACTTTTAACTACCTGTGTTTCACCTGTCTCCTACAGTTGAGAAAAGCTGCAGTATACACGGCGCAGGTGAAAGGTGGGACCCTACCTATAAGAGAGTTGTGGGCGTGTCAGAGCTTCAGCCTGAGACTGTGGTCAAGCTGATTAGGAAAGGTGTTTTAAGGTAACTTTTTCTGTACCCTATTTAATAAAATAATTAAAATTAGTCATTTTCGCTTGCATTCCCAGCCAATGAGATAACATCTGGGGCTAAATTATTAAATGAACTTATTAATCCAATTATTTTAATTACTAATTTTCTCAGCTTTTGGGTTATAGTTATATATACTAATGCTCTTAAAATTTTACAAACAAAAGAAAGAACTATAAGTTTTAAAATAGGAAGCTTGAGCCTCTAGTACTGATTTATTGAATTTTCAGCTTTTTTTTTTGTACCATTTTTCTATTAGTATTTTAAAATGTAAACCAATTTAAATGACATAAAAACCAAACAAAACCAGTTTTTTTTTTGCAAATGCTGAAATTCATAGAAATAAAGACAAAGCTCATGCTTTGTATAATTGTAATCCTTGAACATTTATTTACAAAAAACAAGCAACAAATAATAAAGAATTAACATTTTAAATTCATATAAAAACGTCTTCACAACCATTATACACTGATTTGTAGGGATATAAAACAAAAATCTGTTTTTTGTCTTAAAGATTATTTTTTTGCATTATTCTGAGTATTGTAATAAAATAATTTTCAAAACAAAAGAAATGTGCGGGTGATAGGTATAGTTGGGAAAGGCTTTATCTCATTTTTAAATCAAATATTTGTTAAAAAACTCATACATCCGAGAAAAACTAAGCTCATAAGCTGCCTCGTTAAAGTTTTCGCTGGTCTTGTTTGCAAAGGCGTGACCAGCGTCGTAGGTATAAAATTCAAAAGGCACACCGTATCCCTCCAGCTTGGCTTGGAATGCCTCGTAGTCTGGCTTAGATGAAAAGCCTGCCGCCTGGTCCTTCTCCCCAAAATGGCACTGCAGCGGAACTTTGATGTTGCTGTAGTCACAGGTCAGGTTGGCTGGTCGAGGTATGCCATAGAACGGTGCAGCTGCATCAACACTCTGGTACAGTGTAACGACTGCTATGGAGAGTGCTCCCCCTTGACAGAAACCAGTGGCGCCTACTTTGTTAATTCCTTTTGATTTTAGATATCTAGGGAGGAAAAAAATTTAATTTAATAGATGAACTCTACTTTATCAGTCTATTGTAAAGTCAGCTCAAATTGGGTCTGTACATATATTTTATTTTTACTTCCATTTCTCTATACTTTTTTGTTCATTTCCTCTCATTTCTATAACACAGTCACACTGTGAGAAAAGGCTTGTAGTTACTGCAGCTATGTTGTTCCATAACTTCACCTTTTTGTAGAGTTATCATAAAAAGCTCTACTCATAAACTCTGTCCCATTTGCTATCATACTTTGTACTGATCATATTACCATTTTGCAACATTCTGCTTCCCTCCTATCCCCTGCCCACTTCCACCACTGTACCCCCTTCTCCCCACACCCCTGTTACTGACCTGGCGCATGCATCAATATCTTGTACTGCACCCTCCCAGTTCAGGTCCTTACTGTAGTGGCCGGCTGCCTCGCGGTCCAGGGCGACCTTTCCCCTGTAAAGATCTGGTATCAGCGTCACAAACTTGGTCTTCTCTGCGATCATTTGTGCCACACCTTGGATGTGTTGGTTTACCCCCCACCATTCCTATACATAAACCAAGCAATAAATTTTATTAATGATGCTTAAAGTGTTAATTAATTAATGATAAAATGTAAATGTCAGGCCCTCTCCATCTTTATCTGGATGCCCTGGTTGAGCCCATAATAGCTAACCAGGAAGATGAGTTGTAGGATGTGCCTGAGTCCCTTCAGCTTTGGTGGGTATAATTCCAAAGTTGGAGAAAGTAAGAGTTTGTACAATTTGCCTGATACTGTCCAGTGCAAATGTGTACCAGACTAAACTCAGACTAAAGAAACAGGTTTTTAAATATATTTTTTTTTACAAGTGTCTTTTAATTTGTGGGTGGTAAAGTTGAGACATAGTTTCATTATCAGTTTAAATTTTTTAATTACTTCAGTAAAACCATTATTGAAAATCTCTATCTAAAGATACCCGAGTTCTATTTGTGGATTTTATCAAGCAAATTAAAAGTTGCTTCCCTTGGCTGAAATGTTATTTTTAGATGTACAAACTTGAGGTATTTCATTAGCACCTGCTTACCACTTATCAGATCACCTGAATGTCTCCTATATACCTCTGCTAAGCCTTTTTAACATGCACTATAATTTACTTAAATCAATTTGAAATTACCCTAATTAAGATGCCATAAATGAGTGTCTAAAGTTTTATTTACAGCTACACATATCATTGTGTATTAGAATTGCTGTGTACATTTTTTCCTCTGTTCAATATAACTCTTCAGTGCTACATATTTTAAAAATATGGTCCAAATCATTCATTACCTGAATAACTATAATAGCTGACTTGGTGCTACTGATGTCTCCAAAGACTAGCGCTGGACATGGTCCCAGAGGGTTCTCAGATGGTACTTCCACTCTTGTTGGTGACATGATGCTTCAGTTGGGCTGTATAAAAACAAACTGTTTTCAGCTTTATTTGTTAAAGATTAATTCATCCAGTTTCTTGTAGCTACTAGCTAGATCTAATCTACATCCCGTAAAAAAAAGGAAACTTCCCCTTTCAGACCTAATTAATTAACCATAAGGCAGGTGTAGTAGAGTTATATATTTCTTGACCTTAATGTTTGAAGGGATGGTGTGGTCAGCACTGCTCTGCCACCTTTTCCCTAATACGAGCCAGGTACTCATCAGAGCTGAGTGGACTCAGGGAAGTCCTGCAGACTCATGTCCAGACCAAGACCCAAAGTTGAGACTTTAGGGTTAACAGTCCAGCACTCTACTATACGACCATGCAATCCCATAAACATACTTGTATTTTGTTGATCTAGTATCTAAACTTAATATTTAATTTATGAGGGAAAATAATTTAAGTTAAAAAGAAAAGGATGAGTTTTCCTAACAGTGCTCAATTCACTGAATTAAGACTTAAGTGCATCATTGTATTCCATGGAAACAGAGAACTAGGATCTCCTTCATTAGTATTCATTCTTAATCTTAACATACTAACACTTTATTTATTTGGCAATATTTAGTTTACAACTACTAATACTAATAGTATTAATACTACAATCATTCAACCTAACAGGCTTACGCCCCCATTATTTGTCTCATTCTCATCATAATTAGAATCTGATGAGATCTAAATAGATTCTAGAATTTCTAGATGATGTAGATCTATCTTTCTTTATCTAGTATTTAGACTTTAGACTATTCATTATGTGATAAAGATCTATTGTGATTTACTGGCGCTGGTATGAATAAAAGAATTAAAACATGGCAAAGAGTAAAAAAGCTCAGTCGATATTACCACACCGGTATGGTCTGTGTACAATATGAAACCTGTGACACACTGTGTTGTAAGCGTAGCCTTTTTATCCAGTGCTCCACACGCGTGTGTAGCGGTTAGATAACATGACCTAGTTAAGTGGGCTACTTCAGCAGAACGATGTCTCTCAAGGCCATTCTCCGACCCACTTTGTGACATCTTTGTCGTCTGCTTGAAAATTGTAAAGTGTTTGATTAGCCGAGTCGCTTGCTTCTGTAGATAACTGTGTAGATCTTGAACAAGAATCTAAATATCTAGCTGCGGTCTAGTAGTCCTGTGCTATCAATTTTTTTACTGTTAGGTCTACAACTTCAGTCAACTACTGATACGCGAATCAGGGTTCTCAAATTAACTACGATGGATCGTAGATTTCTAGTTGCCAACTCAGACTATTTAGCCTGGAACCATACGAATACCATAAATTAATTAATACCTCGTTTATAGTATGATAATAATCATAGTTTGATTGTTACCTTTGATTGTAACTTTTTTTAAAAAAAAAAACACATTTTTTTTACATTCTGGACACGGCAGCTTTGGGGAAAAAAAATAGCTGGTCCTGTTTTCCACAGTGAGAGGCCCTGAGTTGTAGGTGTTGCTTATCATCTTCTAGTTCATTCTACTTCTACAACTACTTGTGATCTAAAATATTTGCTGGTTAAGAATGTTCTTGACTTTGTAATTTAGGTCTGTTAATATTCACTCGGAGTTTTGTTAAGGCGTCTCGGGGGAGGGGCGGGAATTATTGTGCCCCCACGAAACATCACTTCTAATGCCTCTACCCGGAGAAAAACGTCTGCTCTCTTGAAAATATCTCTTTATGATGGGGGGGGGGGGGGTTCATCCATAAATGACGTCACGCTTTTCTGACGATTTTTTACCCCCCCCCCGTCACACTTCGTCAAAAAAAGCTAGACCCCCCCCCCTAAAATGACGTCACATCTCAACCTATACCCCCCCCCCCCCCTCAAAACTGCGGTTGGATTTTTCTTAAAACACCGATATTTTTCCAAAATCCTGTCTGAACTCTGGCAACATATTATTTTAATCAATTCCTATTACAATTTATTACAACAGTTTTCTAAAACGCGAAATAACTGCTAAAATTCGTTTTCTTACATTGCTTTTTTATTATGCAAAAGTGTGATATCACACCATCTGAAACCTGCACACTTCCCCCTCATCACACACCGTCACAAAATTACGGACCCCCCCCCCCCCCTCCCCCTACAAGTGTGACGTCATTAATGGACGACCCCCCATGGTGCTAAAAGATGCTTTAAAAATAGCTAGAACCTGCATTTTTTTTTGTTTACTGGTTTTTATACAAGAAGCATTAGGAAAAAGCATGTATATTTCTTGATAACTTTTAGGGATTACTGACATCTACAAATATCTGACAATGGAATCATGCTCATACCTGCTCCTCAGGCAGGGGTTACATGCATAATTAATTTGTCCTCTTTTTTTTTCAGACTTCTTACAGAGGAGGATAAAGTTCGTATTTATTATAACGTGGAGAATGCTCGTGTATACAGAAGTACAGAACCCAATTTCATAGAAATTACAGCAGAGGTATGTTAGTCTAACTTCATTGAAATTGAGTCTGTGTGTTAGCATCTGCGAGGGTAATTCTTGTTAAGGCCCCTGTGCTGAAAATGACTTTGGTGTGTGTTGTATTCAAAGTCACAAGGCAGTTTATGTTAGTTATTATTTCAAAAGTATTTTAAAATGCTAGTAGCTATGTGGATGGAGGGGGATTCCAAAATTAACTATGGCACTGCACCAGTATCATCATGAATGGCCCTAACTAAACTCCACATTTTTCACATTGAACTTTTTGACAAAATGCTGGCCCACAGCCAAATAGTATTAGGGATATAGATACAAATTATTTTCTTATGTTTGTGGCAATTTAATCTTTGGTGTTGGAAATATTTGCAATCATTGTGACAAGGACAGTCTTGTTTTGATGATACATCAATCCCAGTTGCTCTTCTGTCCTCGAGGCAGGTGAAGTAGAGTCTCTTTAATCACAGCTGCCCTTTCTCTCTACCTTGTAGGCCTACTTTATTTCGTTTAGGCCTGGGTTTGACCCTTGACTTTTGTATTAGGGTCACATGCTCTCTCTTTCCAGGGGTTGAGTTTCATCATATGATGAATGGGATTTAGCAAACAAATATGTTCTTTCATGGAGGAAAATGAGTTTATTTTTATATTAGTTCTCTAGATTGCTAAAGATTTTTTTTTTAAAAACTAGCACTCACTAGCAATAAATTTAAGTCATGTTGGCAAAGAAACAAATTTGAAATGCCAGTGCTTCAAGGTCATGTCACTACTTGCAAGAGAAACATTTAGGTTATGCACTTAAAGGAGGACTAGAATTAAGTACAACAAGAGGGGTGGGGACATGTTTATATCTTCCTTGTTTTGCCCCATTGAACATTGGAATATTTATATTATAAATTTTATCTAACAAATATAGAACTAATTTATTTTTTCACATTTTTAGTAGTGATACTACTTCAGTTTTTGGCTATACACCACCAGTAGCTAAAATAACATTGTCAAGGGTAGAACCAATGGTTTTCGCAGCAGAATATTTTCTTGATACTACATTTTGACCCCCATGATGTGTAGTGCTAATCCTCTCCACTATCATTTTCTAGTGGTTCAACAATCCATTTGTTTATATAACCTCATAGAAACATGCATATTATGAAATTTAAAGACCAGATTTGTCATCTACTAAGCAGGCTGTTGTACAGTATTCAGTGATGGATTCTTTAATTGAATGTTGACTCATTTATTCCCCCTCCTCACCAATAAAACTCATCCTTACCTTGATTTCTTAATTAACTCCATTCCACAAGTGCATTTCTGTCCTGTCAAACAAAACCCTTCTAAGTTACCTGTTAATTGTTTTGTTGGCTGTCCTGTCAAACAAAACCCTTCAAAGTTACCTGTTAATTGTTTTGTTGGCTAAAATAAAATCATGTTTTTTTAAATTGCTCTAGATGGCACCAGCTGTAGAGTACTTAATCAATGCATATCCTGAGTACACAAGTATTGAGAGCCTACCACTAGAAAACATAGCTGATCAGGTAACAAACTTGCGGCTTTTTAAAAAAATTCTACCTCAATATGTTCATAATTAACTTCTGGCATTCATATTTCTTCAGCTCCTTACACAGGAGTAGAAGAAAAAAATGTAGTTTGAACAAATAGTAACATGTTGAAGGTTTCATTTTTTGTCTACATTTGCAGATTAATGTAGTATCTCTGTTGTACGAGAAAGGTCTTTTGATAACTAGTGAACCACTGGAGCCAACATATGATGAACCTGGTGACGACACTGACGAAGAGTTCTCTTGAATTTTTATTTTATTTATCTCGAGAAGACATAAATGTTGAAGAAAAGAAACATGGTTGTTAAAAAATGTTTTCTTTATATGTGCTTTTAAAAAATAATAGATGTGTAAATAAGTTGTTTTAATGTTTTTAATTGCTTAACAGTAACTATTAAGACCGTTTACTTGTATGTTAAAGTAATTGATTAAAAAATTGTGCTTTGAATAATGTCTTGTGGCTGCTTTTTCTCAAACTTTTTAAAAAAATAAAATTTACAAAAAAAAAAAAAAAAAACCAACCTCCATATTAGTTTCTAAATCACAAAATCAGACAAATTTTAAACAATATTAACATAAAGAAAAAACAACTTTAGAATATTGAAATTAAATTTACATTTTTTTTTCAAATTGGTTACGCTTTATTTATTGAAGATTAAGAAGTAATTCAATCAATATTATTAAACTTTTAACATTTCATTAACAGCAAATAAAAAGAACATTTACATTGTAAATAATTTTTAGTAACTTGTTGAATGCTAAAATAAAGCATCACAGAATCAAAGCCAATAGGCATGAAAGACCAAAACAATTGTTAAAGAAAACTGGGCAGATAATGTATTCAAATGGCATAAAGTAGAGATGTTAAATAATTTTGTTTACTTTTTTCAAATTTACCAAATATTGGCAGTAGTATATGTGCACAACAATAATAAATAAATACTGTGACGTTTCCTAATACACAGTGGTTGACACAAAAAAAAAGATGTATCGACATTAACAATAACAGTTTGAGAGGGAAGATGGGTCTAGATTATCTAACAGACTGACTAAGTCACAAAAACTTAACTATCACCAAGGGGATATCTGTTTAAAAAATTTGTATGAAACAATAAATCAAACAATTTTTTATTCTTGTTCAATACATTAGAAACAAATATTAGTAATTAAATTTAAAGAACTTTCATATCCAAGTATAATATTGCTTGAGGTGGGGGGACAAAAAGAAAATCTGTATAATGTGATAAATAAACTAAACATTAAATATAATATTTGAGACAATGATAACCCATCCCTTATTTCAATGTTCCCATCAGTTTAATTTGTTTCCTTAGGTTATACATCAAGGTTGCCATTATTTGCCAAAATGTATCAAGGGAAATAATTGAAAAAATAGCTGCCAGTCATATTCATTGTAAGATTAATAAGTTTGACTTCATAGCAATTTTCACTGAAGTGCAAGAATAATTTAGAACAAATTCAACGTAACAAATCTATCACAGCAGATCAAACAATGTAGCAGCCATCTTGCGCATCTCTTTCCTACTCACTTTACCAGAATTGGTCAGGGGGAACTTGTCCATGAATACATAATACTTCGGTACAAGCCTCATGATGTCCTTCTCATTAACCAATTCTATACTGTCAGCAAAACTCCTGAGCTGCTTTTCCAGCAGCTCTAGATCTACATCAGCTGTCGGCTGTTTTCCAACTTTCCCATTTTTTATCACACTGTCTTCACAAAATTTGGAATCACTCGTCTGTTTATTCAAATCTTCACAACCGTCTGTTGGTTTACGACCAGCCCACACACCCTCAACACCGCTGATAACAACACAGGCGCAGATTTCATTCCCCCACAGCTTGTCTGGCACAGCCACAAGAACGATGTCCAGCACTTCCGGAACTTCCTTGAATTTCTTCTCCAGCCAAGAAGGGTACAAGATGTACCCTGCCCTCATTATGGTGTCAGACTGCCTGCCTTCCACGTACAACTTCCCATCTGCCCCTATGTATCCGGCGTCGTCTGTGCAAAACCAGCCATCCGCTAAGAAAGATGAATTGGTTGCTGCTTCATTGTTGAGGTACCCCATGCTCAAGGTGGGACTTTTAACTAGCACTTGCCCTGTTTTACCATTATCAACTTCCTGAAAAAGATAAAAATATTTATATTAATACAGATTCCTGATTGACAATTGTCATTTCAATGTAATTTTGAAAGTCAATACTTTCAGAACATATCTAAATAATAATTCAATAATTACAGGAATTATTCTATTTCTAAGTTGCCTTTCATAATGATAAAGATTAAACAAACATTTTATGCAATTATTGATAATTTAAGTTATCTTTTCTAGTAACTTTTTATTAGTAGTATGCAATCAAATTTTTTTTTAATTATGTGCTAGTAACACAAGAATACTTCCACATCATACAAGTTCATATAATTCATTTTGAGTGAAGCAACGTGTTACTCTGAATGACTAGTTTTGAAATTAAAAAGACGAATTAAAGGTGCTATCAGGGGAGTTAATTCATTCTGGTACAATAACCTAGTTACACCATTCTCACATAAAAACAAAGAGCAACTATATCAATGCCAACCAAAATAGCTATAACAAATACTTACTTGCATATCTATATCCACTATTTTAATCTGGACATCATACCCAGGGTAACCAACACAGTTGTCGATGTATGATGAAGGATCCGCTATTCTATGTGTGGCCACCAGATTGCATTCAGTCATGCCGTAATTGATGTCCACGGCATCACAGAGTTTTCCGATTACACCCAAAGTATCCTGTTTAACAGGCTGACCAGCTAGGCAAAGATACTTGGGTTTCCAGTGTGAATTTTTCCACAGCGATGTGTTGGAGAGAATACTTTTCACATAGTATGGATTTATAAAGCCGTAAACTATCTTTTCTTGCACAATAGTTTTCCATATGGCTGAAGCAACATCAGGGATAGGTCCAGCGTGCATATCGAAAAAATATCGAGTCACCCCACAGGATAGATACCACTGGGGGTATCCACCCGCCCATCCCATCGGGGCAATGTTTATAAAATGGTCACCCGGGTTCATCGGTTCAATAGCTTTGACTTGAATACCAAAACCACAAATATTTGCATGGCAGAACCGCACAAGCTTGGAGTAGCCAGTTGTCCCAGACGTGGTCAAGACAGTGACCATGTCAGATGGGTTTACATCTGCGGTATACTCAGGCAACGCTGGATTTTTCAAAGAGGTGATGAAATCATTAGAAGGATTAAAGTCATCTCTGGTGCAAGCGATGATGTGTTTTAAATGGGGAAGGAGTTGAGATTGCACATCATTTTCACAGCCAATTGGAACTTCCTCCAATAGAATTTTTCTGGCACCCTGGGGTATACTAGGATCAAGAATCACTGCAGAACATTTGCTGTTCTTTAAAGTTTCAAGAAAATCTTCACCATCTGTCCGAAATATCTGACCATTCATCGAAGCTGCACCAGAAAATGCTATACCAAATTCACAAACAACTCGCTCAAGGGAATTAGGAAGGGCATTGCATACAATTAAACCTTTCGTAATTCCAAGTTCTTTAAGTCGAAAGGCAAACCGCCGTGAGAGATCCAAAACTTCTTTCCTGGATAATGAACAATTCTTTCCATTCATAAACACACTGATGAATGCAGGTGTTGCATTTGTATCAATTGATCCCCAATACTGTACAAGTTCACAAACAGTTTTTCCAGGTATTGTAACCTCTGTAGTCATATTATTCTGAGAAAAATAAAATAAACATATCAAAAATTAATCACAACATAAATATTAACCAAATACAAATACTCTTTTTATAGGCCTAATAATACACCATATTTTTATTTTTTTAGAAAACAGCACACCATATTTATATTTTTTTAGAAAACTGCACTAAAAATTTAGTCGGTTTTTGTAAAAATCAAAGTTAAAGCAAATTTCTGCTGTATTCAAAATATTGCAGAATTTTTTATTTATTTTATAGCTGGTAGGCCTTATAGGACGAATTTTAATTTCCTGTTGTTTAACAAAATTTAATATAGAATCTAGAGGATTGGGGGTATAAAAGTTGCACGGTAAAATTAGTGTAGCTTTAACTTTAAGTAATAAAGTATCATTAAGTACATTATCACTGTGACTCAGTCCTCTGTGACTGATTGCAACATACTCATCATTGACTCAAATATTATTTACTGACATATTTTTTATTTAGTATGACATTTACGCATTCAGTATATTTTATTATTTAGGAGTTTCTGTTTGTGTTTAGTGTGGTTTACTCTGGTTTAGTATTGAAGTATTGAATTTGAAGCAAATTTCTGCTGTATTCAAAATATTGCAGAATTTTTTATTTATTTTATAGCTGGTAGGCCTTATAGGACGAATTTTAATTTCCTGTTGTTTAACAAAATTTAATATAGAATCTAGAGGATTGGGGGTATAAAAGTTGCACGGTAAAATTAGTGTAGCTTTAACTTTAAGTAATAAAGTATCATTAAGTACATTATCACTGTGACTCAGTCCTCTGTGACTGATTGCAACATACTCATCATTGACTCAAATATTATTTACTGACATATTTTTTATTTAGTATGACATTTACGCATTCAGTATATTTTATTATTTAGGAGTTTCTGTTTGTGTTTAGTGTGGTTTACTCTGGTTTAGTATTGAAGTATTGAATTTGAAGTCTACTCAACTGGGGATCTAGATTCTAGCTTAAGCTAATATCTAGCTAGATCTAGAAGATTTAAAAAATACAATTACTAGACTAGATTAACAAATTTAGATCTAGTCTAGATCTAGCTAAAGATCTATCATCTTTTTTCTTTAGGTCTTAGATTTTTAAGAACATGCACTCAAAAACCTGTATCAAAGACTCATTGAGAGTCTAGATCTAGATCTAGGTCTTGTTTCTCTTTTTCCTACAAAGCTTCCGGTATTGTAACACCACCACCCCCTCCCCAGCTCGTATTATTACTATTCTAATTTCTATGCAGTTGTACTATAAACAGCTAGCCTAAAGTAAATCTGTTGATGTAGTCGAACACACAGGGACAGCTTAAACTGATTTAGTCAATCTATTCCGAGCCATCTCAGAAACCCTATAAGAAATCCTAATAGTTTACTAATCATAGGCTATTCTACTGAAATTTTTTTGGTTGAAATGGGACTCAAGGCATTATTAGTTATGAAGATTAGAATAATTGAGTTGACCCTAAAATCTAAATTAAGATGACACTTGACTAGTCGACTCAATAACATTTTTTGTGCTTTGCATCTAAGCCCTGTCATTTTAAATTGAATAGAATTAAAAGAATTATATTTTACCCAGTGTTTATCCAGACTTTTTCGTCCGGGGGGGGGGGGGGGAGAAGGACCGGACACTGTTAAAAGTATATATTTTCTATATAAATTCCATTTCGTTCGGGGGGGGGGGGAGGCGGTAGACTTTCTTCAGGGGGGGGGGGGGTGGCGTGAAGAGATGCCTGGAAGAAACTGATTTTACCTATATGATTAGCGGCGTAGCTTATATTAAATTTGAATTTAGCCTAATACTCCTACTTGAATAACATAGGCTACCTTATATATAGGCCTACTCACACAAAAAAAAAAACTTTAAAAAGTCGCTGTTTCCATCCCCGCAAATTCATAATCAAACGTTATAGAGGGGTCATCCATAAATGACGCCCCACTTTTTTTGACGATTTTACCCCCCCCCCCCCCCCTCCGTCACACGTCGTCACAAAAAGCCAGATTTATGGATGACCCCAGACCTAAGCCTATATAACATTTCTTGGAGTACAATTCTTAAGCTTGTATAAAAATATATCTATGAGGCAACTCCCAAACCTATACACGCCTTGCTTCTAATATCACGAACTCACTTCAAGATATCTACATAAGTTTAAAGAAAGTCTTTATGTCAACATATTTTAACTAATTTAGAATTTACTCAAAATTCAAATGAGCTCTATTAATTGGCTTTTGGACTATTTTACACCCCCCCCCCACCACCTCCTCCTTAAAATTACATGATATTGATGTATTCCATAATACTAGAACTTTTCTTAATATTTTACATTAAATTGAACGTAAACGTAAAAATAAAATGTGTCCAGAGACGATATATTTAAAATAATTAACAGTAATTAAAACAAACAAGCTTACCTGGTAACCTAAGGCTAAATACACACACACAAAAGTAATGCCTTGTAATATTTTCCACACTAAACTCAATTTTATTTGCCTTAAATACTAGCGCTAAAATATGCCAGGGGCACCTTTAAAGTATAAATTTTAAAATGCACCTTTACGGTAAAAAAGAAAAAAAAATTCGAAATTATATATATAATGAACCTTACCGTGTTAGTATCCGACCAATATTTACAACCTAAACATCCGTGTCGGAAAGTTTTAAAAGCACAAATGGATGCTTGCTATGTTTATATGAACAGATGTTGGATCAGATTGGCTTTAAAAGAGGCTGGTCATGTGACATTCCGGCGGCAGCGCAACAACGAATGTGTGTCATTGTACGGGCGTAGTCCTATAGATAGGGGCATAGGTGGTGCTGGTGGCGCTTTTTGGAAATGTTACGCTTTTTAAATGTTACCCTTCGCTCCGAAAAATGGATATACAAAGAGTAAGGTGGCGGGTGGGGGATTGTTATATTAAATATACGAGCCTAGCACAAAGGGACAAGAACAATGGGGGTTTCCACATCAGTGTAATCATTGTGGGGGGAGGTTGAATTTCTTTGCTGAACTTAAATTTAAAAAGTTATTTTCAGGCATCGCTTCTCTGGGGATGGGTGGCACCCGAAGCGAGTCTACAACACCAACTCCCCACCCCCCCGAATGAAATAGAAAAAAAAAATCGATTTATATTAAGTAATATTTTTTTTACCATTTCGTCAGCCCCCCACCTCACCCCGCCCCGCCCCTCGAGGGGGGGTGGGTGAAAAAATCTGAAGTAACTAACCCACTAAAGAATTTCAGCCAGTACTCCCCCGGGGAGGAACCTAGGGAGGGGGTAGTGCCCGGCACCCTACAACCGGAGCACTCCACGGCGCCCCCCCCCCCCCCCCCCCCCGATGAAGAGAAATACAGACATTTTAGAAAATTTGAAGCGCGCCCCTCCCTCCGTAAGTTTTAATAATTCCCCCACCCTCATCGTCTACAAATGTCAGAAAGAAACCCTAGCCTGACCCACTTGTTTAGTGTAGTGAAGAAACGGGACATCAGTACACCAACAGCTATCGCTTAATTAGTTAGGGATAGGCTTTTGGGGTCAATAACCTGTACTGTACATGCGCTTTTTATTCTTCGTTAAAGTAATACATTACAATAAACGGGCATATCAGTAATATTGATTTTCCCACCCCATACACAAGCTTTTTTTCTTTCTATGACGCCTACATCAATTTAATTTTTATGTGCATACGACAGGGATAAAAAATATTTAAGAACATGAAGTATTCTCCGGAATTTCCAAGTTCGCCCCGGATTCGTACCCGTAACGGTTCTTGGACAGAATTGTGCAATGCGGGTTCACAGTCCAGTATACGTGGCGTCTGGTTTTGAACGTACGATAGTAGGTCACGTGACTAAGTCAAATAAGGAAACTGAGTCAGGTTGTACGAAATCTCTTATCCACCGCTCGACTGTATTTTCCGGTAAAGAGAACACTTGTTCACTCCATAGCATGCAGGGGTGGACCCACCGGGGGAAATCTCGGTGGGCCCTCATGAAAATCTCGGTGGGACCCAGTGTTTCCTCTTATCATCTCTTCGGGGGCTCCGAAGTCTATCGCCCCCCCCCCCCCCAACGAAATGGAATTTATATAGAGAATATATGCTTTTAACAGTGTCCGCCCCCCTCCTCCCCCCATAAATTGTAGTCCGCCCCCTCCCCGGAGAAAAATTCTAGAAGAAACACTATGGGACCCCAGGAAAATCTCAGTAGGGACCCCAGGAAAATATCAGTAGGATCCCGGGAAAATCTCAGTAGGACCACGGGAAAATCTCAGTAGGACCACGGGAAAATATCTCAATGGGCCTACAGAAACGGGACTATAATAGTTTTATTAGGTGTTTTTTTTTAATGTTGATATTTACTATTTTACCCTTCCTTCATACCATTACCAAGTTGAAAACCTAAGCTTTGATAGAGAAAAAAAATGCGCAATGAAAATTTCAATCTAGGGTTGGAGACCACCGTTTAAAATTCCACGGGCCCTCTTGGGTACAGTCAGAAATTCCTTCCAGGCATCTCTTCTACCCCCCCCCCCCCCCCCCGAACTAAATGAAATTTATATAATTTATATAGAAAATATTTTTTTAACAGTGTCCACCCCCCCCCCCCCCCCCCCGAAGAAAGTCTACCGCAACCCGAAAATTTCAAGTGCCCCCTGGAGAAAAAAGTCTGGAAGAAACACTGGGTGCAGTCAGTCCGCCCCAGATAGCAATAGCATGTCAATCATAAATATTACCAAGACTTATCAGTTCAGAGATCGTGCACATTGGGAGTGGTTTCCCCTTGTGTAAGGGAATTGGGGGGGGGGGGTGTAGATCTAGATCTAGACCAAAGTAACCGAAACGAAAAGGGGATCAACCGGGTATTTCCGAACCAGATTACGGTTAGATTTTGTTAGTTTTAAATCAGTACATCCTGAGTATGACGCCTTTGCTCGTTGAGAAGGTAGATAAACTTGTCACGAACAGTGCATTTATAGTACATGTCCAGCTTATCAATCATATTGGCAATTTGGCAATATATATATAATGCGTGTGTGCGTGCGTGCGTGTAGCTAAAGTCACGTTTTCCCCCATATATAGATATAATCACACAAATTGTTGAATTTGCTTTCTCTAAAAGCTACACTGCATGCTACCCAACTTAGGGCGAAAATTGCAAAAAGGTAATGTCCTAAAACTGTTTCATTTGAATAAAAACAATTCGGTAGATCAAAATACTTTTTAAAAAAATAAAAGTACCTATACCCAGGTATAGAACATTTGGTATTGAAATGAAAAATATGGATTTTCAATTTTTGAACAAAACTTAAGTGTTTTGTTTTTTGTTTACTGTCGGGAGGGGGGGGGGGTTCTAATATAAATAACGTCAGACACCGTGACGGGAGAGGGGGTTCAGACTTTAGAGACGATACTTTTGAGGGAGTTAGGTTGGTTTAAAATGTGATCTAGCATTGATTTTTTTTTTATATTTTAAAAGAGCCAGAAAAAGTTGCACGACCTTTCGGCTTTTGTTACAATTCGGTTAAGGAAATTGATTCCAATATTAATAAGTACGACTTTACCGTTCCTTAAAGCAGTACAACTGACGCACTCTTTTACTGTGCTGATTCAAATAGCAAGGTTTCTTCAGAAAAAGATGTAAATTATGTAGAGTATTGGTGTTGTAGTAAAGAAAGAGTTCGGGAGGGGGAGGGGGTATCTTTTTCAGGGAGTCCTCTCCGAAAGAGTATAGAGTATAGAGCCTTACTTCAAGACTTACAATTGATAAACAGTCAATATTTCCAATGAAAATTGTCACAAGCTATTGTTGTAAACGACACCTAGACTGCTAATAAATATGAAATTATATTTTTTTAAAGATTTTTAAATGTGGTACAAACCTTTGAAGGGGAATTCCAAAAACACGGACAAGAAACTGCTCTTTACAAAATGTTTATCTTTCTTCTCCGTTGACGTAGAATCTAATTCGTGTGTGAATGATAGTTCACAAAGTTGTGATTTGCACGGTGTTCACAAAATCTGACCGCGCGCAAATATTTTATTACTATCGCTGGCCTGAGGCCAACTCATTTTGGTTTTAATAAATACTTAAATCGAGTTACCGGACTTGATAAAGTTATAAATAAAATCACCGAACGTGTACATAATCTTCAGCTTGTAGTTTGTAGTAAACGAATTGTCCTTTAATGATGTCACACTCTTGGGGGGGGGGGGGGGGGTCTCAGATTTTAGTGGTACGTGGGAGGTGGTCATAGACTCTGCATATGAAACATAGAGATGATCAATGGAATTAATGTTAAAGAAATAGGCCTAGGTTTCAATGGCAGATTGCTAGAGATAGGATGAAATAGCGCTCACTTGTTGATGCATTGTACGTAAATGGACGTTCAGTAGTGATGATGATGAGGATTAAGTGAATGTTAGTGGATAAAGGCGATGTGTAGGATAGATAACCGTACTAGTAACGACCCGGTAGAGGACGAAGCAAAAAAAAAAAATTCAAAAAAAAAAAAAAAAAAAAAAAAAAACTACTGCTAAGCTACACCTGTAGGCCTAGTATTTCAAAGGGTAACAATATATACAGGATTTTCCTTGTTTTGTGTTTTAGAGGTTCATAATCTTTAAAGTATTTCCTCTTCCCATCCCCACCACCCACCAGCAATAATCAATTTTTAAAAAATAAATATTGATTAGGTATGAAACAAGATATATCTCATGTGCTATACACCATGTCTGACCATACTATATACCAGTGGCGTAGTGAGGTCGGGTGTCACCCGGTGCGGCACTTAATGGTGTCACCCCCCCAGAGGCGTAGCGACCCTTCCCGGGGACAAACTATCGAATTTTCGATTTGCACCCTCCCCCCTTCAAACTTTCGATTTGCACCCTTCCCCCCCCCCCCTAAGACTTTCGATTTGCACACCCCCCCCCCCCCTCAAACTTTCGATTTGCACCCCCCTCAAGTTTTTCTCTATATATTTTGCTATTTTTGCCTTGGTGTCACCCCCCCTAAATGGTGTCGCCGGGTGCGGTCCGCACCCCCCCCCCCCACCTCGCTACGCCTCTGCTATATACCAAACATAAAAGTGGTGGTGTGAGACTTTGGGGGGGGGGGGTATACGCCCCGAGTTACGTTAATACAGGAAACAGTGTCTCATAGGGAATCTGTGTCACTGACCTCGGCATATGAAGGAAGTATGTGGTCTGAGCTGTGTTGTCACTGATGATCCCAACTCAGGTACCCACAAGAGCTGAGTCGACTCAACGACGTGCTACGGACTCTAACGGAACTCGTGATTTCCTGGTTAGAAAACAAACCCCGTCTTTGATATGTTTAATATAGAAATTAAATACAAACTACTCTACATGTAAGTCAAGGAAGAAATTTGATACATACGTTTTTCGGTTGTTTTTTTTTTTTTTCATTTTTTTTTTACGTCTTGGATTTTCTTCTCCGAAAAACCCTTATGACCTTAAGTGAACTTTAATTGTGTAAGGGCTTTCTAAAGCTATGTGTTGTCCAACCTACGTCACATAATGAAAATATTATTAAGAAGGAAACAACCGCTTCCCAATACCCCCCCCCCCCCCTGGATTAACTGACTTTCCCCCTGAATTAATTTTTCGCACAAAAACTTTTTTGTGTGTGGAAATCTTGGAAATCACATTGAGCTTGACATGAATAAGATCCTGGTTCATTCTGAATTATTCAACCCT